GACCTCGATAGTCTGGTCGCTGACCTCGAGGCAGACATCCTGGAATGTGAAGTCAAATGGGCCTTAGGACGTTTGAGCAACAACAAAGCTAGTGGAGATGACAGTATTCCAGCTGAGCTATTCAAAATCCTAAAAGACGATGCAGTAAAAGTACGCCAGCAAATTTGGAAAACTCAGCAGTGGCCGCAGGATTGGAAAAGGTCAGTTTACATTCCCATCCCAAAGAAGGTCAATGCCAAAGAATGTTCAAACTACTGCACCATTGCACTCATTTCACATACTAGCAAAGTTATGCTCAAAATCCTACAAGCTAGGCTCCAGCAGTATGTGGACCGAGAAGTACCAGAAGTACAGGCAGGATTTCCAAGAGGGAGAGGAACTAGAGATCAAATTGCCAACATACGCCGGATCATGGAGAAAGCTAGGGAGTTCCAGAAAAATATCCATTTCTGCTTCATTGACTATGCTAAAGCCTTTGATTGTGTGGATCACAACAAATTGTGGCAAGTTCTTAAAGAGATGGGAGTACCAGACCATCTTATTTGTCTCTTGAGAAACCTATATGTGGACAACAGAAGCCACAGTGAACACTGGGTACAGAACCACTGATTGGTTCAAAATTGAGAAAGGAGTTCGGCAAGTCTGGATACTGCTGCCATGCCTATTTAACTTATATGCAGAGCACATCATGAGAAAGGTGGGGCTAGATGAATCACCAGTTGGAATTAAGATTGCTGGGAGAAATATCAACAACCTCAGATACGCAGGTGATATCACTCTAATGGCAGAAAGTGAAGAGGAACTAAAGAGCCTCTTGATGCGGGTGAAGGAGGAGAGTGCAAAAGTTGGCTTGAAACTCAACATTAAGAAAACTAAGATCATGGCATCCGGTCCTCTCACTTCCTGGCAAATAGATGGGGAAGAAATGGAGGTAGTGACAGATTTTATTTTTCTAGGCTCCAAGATCACCACAGATGGGGGCTGCAGCCAAGAAATTAAAAGGTGCTTGCCTCTTGGGAGGAAAGCTATGGCAAATCTAGACAGCATACTGAAAAGCAGAGACATCACCCTGCCAAGTAAAGTGCAAATTGTCAAGGCTATGCTTTTCCCCATTGCTATGTAATGCTGTGAACGTTGGACCTTAAAGGAAGGCTGAGCACCAAAGAATTGAGGCCTTTGAATTGTGGTGCTGGAGAAGACTCCTGAAAGTCCCTTGGACTGCAGGGCAATCAAACCAGTCAGTCCTAGAGGAGATCAACCCTGACTGCTCTTTAGAAGGCCAGATCCTGAAGATGAAACTCAAATACTTTAGTCACCTAATGAGAAGGAAGAACTCACTGGAAAAGAGTCTAATGGCTGGGAACAATTGACGGGAAAAGAAGAAGGGGTCGGCAGAGAATGAGCTGACTACATGGGGTCACTGAAGCAGTCAGCATGAGCTTAAGTGGACTCCAGGGGATGGTAGAGGCCTGCAGGAATGTTGTCCATGGGGTTGCGATGGGTTGGACAAGACTTCACGACTAACAACAACAACTGGTAATTTTAGTATAATGGCTGCCCAAAGAGCGTGGTGCTAATAGGAAGCCTTTAAGCAAATTTCATAAATAAATAAATATTCAGGTTCCAGTAAATGATACAGTAAGAGGGAGCATTCTCATCCTTCCTCCACTCCTGCACATTTCCACTGTCTTGTACTCATGGAGGGTGATGATCTAAAGTGGAAGAGTTCTTATATCTGAGAAGTTTCTACTATAGTCCACATGCAGACTGTCCAGTCAATGTCCTGAACAGGGCTCCCATGAAATCAGAACCCTGGATAATTTATAATTCCCTTTTGCATGCAGCACTCTGCACATGCTACAAAAAAAAGGTACTTCCGCAAAATTACCTGCTTACAAATGAGTTCCCTTTTTCCTTGATAAGTTTTTAAATGTAATTGCAAACACCAGAGCACCTCCTCAGAGCACCAATTTCATTCCTCTGTTATGTTTCCTCTAATTGCATGCAGTGCACCTATTAAATAGATAATTGTGCATACAGATGCTTCTGACCACATAGCAGTTTCCAGTGCCCTTGGAAGATATACTGATATTATCTTCCCCTTTCTCCTGATAATGTTTCCATCTTATGACATAATGAGGGGCCATATACTGTAACTTAAATGAATTGGCTTAGTGAAAAACATGTTATAAAAGTCAGACAGCTTGGGAGGTGTAATTAAATAGCTAGCAGGAAGATATATAGGAAGCTAGCCCTTGATGGAAGTTTTGCAAATTCTCTCCACTCCCTGTGTCCTGTAAGAACAGCTTTGAAGAGTGTTTGGGACTGCATTCCATTTCTTCAAATACTTAAAACATCTGTATGGTTCAGAAAAATGGACGTTAAAGTCAAACATATAAAGACTACCAGGTGGGAGAAGGCTGGTCTAGTTAGTGAGCTTGTGCCTACATACATGTGAATTCACAACACCCAGTGAAAGATTATAAACAAAAAGATCTTGCCATACTTGATTAATACCTAACTTTTGTACCCTGAATTGTTCTATCTTGAAAGGAACTTTGCTAGATCTTTGTTCCGTCCCATTTTAATTGATATATTTTGATTTACAGTTACCTCAAATTGTTCAGTTCTAAGACAAACCCAAGAGCAACAAAGTAAACATCACAGCTGTAACCTGCCCAAAACCTAGCCAGATGTCTAGCCAAATAAAGAAGTACAGAGCTAGGAATGTTACAGCTGAGCCTCAGGCTTTCCAGTCTTTTCGCAGAGATTGAAGTTCATTTATATTGGCTATCTAGTTAACACATTTATATCCTGTTTTCCTTCCTTCATGGAGCTTAAGATGACACATGTAGCTCTGAGTGGACCCAGACCTTCAGCAAGATAAGGGCATCATGTGCCCTTGGACCATGCCCTGAGAGTTGTATAACTAGAGTATCATCAAAAATTTTTCTGTATGCCCATATCATATGGGCTTAGAAAATTCAAGAGGAAGCTAACTTGAGCTTACTGTCTGCATTAGCCCTGCAGGTTGTAACCCTAATGCAGACAGAGTTAATTGTAGTAGTCTGGGTGCAGAGTCATGATACTATGAAAATATGGATGTCAATCATACGTTCTTATTTTGCATCCTTTTCATCCAGTGGAAAAAAAATGGTGCTAATATACCAACATGCATAGTAAACCATATTCTTGCAAATAGTAGATTTCTCACATGCAACTTTTTCCAAGCTTTTGTATCATGTTCCCTTTTACATTCATTCATTCATTTTGAGCATTTTGTCCCATCCTATACAAAGTCTATGGACTTTTACATGAACTAATTGGAACATAGGAAAAAAGTGTGTCAGGAGGGGTCTCTAGTCTGACCCCTGGCTCCAGCTGACCCCACTCATGTAATCCTCAGCATGTGGTTGACCAAGTTGAAAGCAAATGGATACAGAGCAATTCTTCCAATGATGATAATAAAAAGGCAGGCAGAATAGGAGAGAGAATCCTTCAGATAATGAGGCCCATGAACCATGTAGGGATTTATATCACTTATCACTAAACTTGTCCAAGAAATTAATCCAAAGATAGACTTGTATGACTCTGGAGTAATACATGAGTGGACTCTGGCTGACATTCTAACGGTCACATTTTGTAATAGCTGAAGTTTCTGAATGGTTTTTAAAGGCAGCCCCATATAGAACACATTCCAGTAACCAAACTGGATGTAGTCAGGGCATCTTCGACTGTGACCAGATCTGCTTTTTCCAGGAAGAGGCCTAGGTTAGAGCCTAGGCAAAACAGAACAAAGGTTCCACTGGCCATAGCAACCAGATGAACATCAGGGAGCAAAGCTAAGTCAAGCAGTGCCCCCAGACTACAAGCCCAATCTCTCAAGGAAAGTGCAGCCTCACTCAGTATTCTTAGTCCCTGTCTAGCTTTCTTGCTGACTAGCAGGATCTCTTTTGTATGGATTAAGCTCCAGTTCACTTGTCCATCTTTCCATGCATAAAGAACTATTCAGAATCTCTAACAGTTTCCATAGCATTAGATGAAAAGATAGAGCAGTGTCATCGGTGTATTGGTGACACCTGATCTCATATCCCAGCAGATTTGACTAGATGTAAAAAAGCATGAGACACAAGGCAAAAACATGTCAGGACTCTGTAGACCCAGATAGTTAGCAGCAGTCTACTAGCACCACCATGTAAGACCAGTTGGCAAAAGATGCAGAAAATTACTGCTGTCAGATACTATCTACAGATGTGAAACCACTACCTCTGAGACTTGCCAGTTGTTACTGAAGAATGTAAGATTCAAAGAGAGCCATTTCAGCTTTGGGTGAACAATACCCTCTTTCAGAACCAATTGCATAATTCCTTTTCTTAGAAGATCATTCACTACATGTGCAGCTCAATCAGTGCCCCTTTAGATCAGCTGTTAGCTGAGAAGAATCAGAGTCAAGAGGAGTCAGCCTCAAATCTAGATGACGCAATCTAAAATAAGTTGCTACAATTCAAAGGTAACTTGAGTCATGAAGTGCGAATGTGTAGGGAAGTCTGAAACATTAGCATTTTCTAGGCTTTTTTTATCTTTCTGATCAAAAATTAATGGAGCAAAGAGGTTCCAGTTTCATTATTTGTTGAACCAGATAGCTGTTGATGTATCATTGTAGTAGTAATTACTTCAGGAGTGGAAATTGCAGTTTTGTGTACAACAATACAAAAACTAACAATTTGACAATAAGTAGGTGTTTAGCAGAAGGTGAAAACTTTACTCTGTGGCACTATGTACTGGAGGGTAAACCTTTCAGCCAAAGTGGGGCTAAAGAGTAATTGCCCCATGCCACTGACATGTTAGAATTGTGGGATTATCTGAACCTTACCATATTGTAGAGAAGGATTTTTGAAATGTGTTTTTGAGTATTGATAATGCCAAGTTGAATAGATGGTTGGTGGACTGTCCTTTCTGTTCTTGTTCTTACAGCATGTTTTCCTGGTCCTGTTTTGTAGGTACTTGAGCGGTTGCAGCAAAGAGGATTTGAAATTGTTGGCTCATGTGGAGGAGGGGTGGACTCTTCCCAATTCAGTGAATATGTACTTAGGCGAGAACTCAGAAGGACATCTCGTTCATCCTCTGTCATTCGAATAAAGCAAGAGCCTCTGGACTAAGAATTTTTTTCTTATGCGACAACAAAAAGGGGGACCTTTTCCATGTGCAGTTGGGACACCAAAAGAGCCCTGGGACGAAAAGTTGAATAAAGACACATTTATATCAAATATAGAGACCATACCTGTATTCATATGGGTGCATTTGGAATAGTGATAATAACCTCAAGGTGTAAAATATGTACATGTGAAATGTTAGAAAAGCGAAAAGAAACAAAAACCTAAACATGGTAGGTCAGGTTGGTGCTGTGATGGCCATTAAGTGTCCTAGGCCTTAGCTAGGTCTGATTAACAATAAAGAAGCCATTGCCATTAGAAGAGGCTCACATATCCTTTCCATTTTCCATTGCCATATGGCAACCTGCTTTTCCATGTATACACCTTGAATCAGCTTGCAGATGACTGTCTTAGAGGTGATTGGGCACAACTCCAGAAAACATCCATTCTATAAGAAAGGTCATGGACAGGAACTTTAGATGTAGCTTGTACAGAAGTCATACACTTCTGTCCATCTGACAGATGTGAATTTTTTTCTCTCCCTCCCCTCCCCCCAAAGGAGTCAGAATTTATTACTACTTCATAGAGTTGCTCTGGTTTGAGTCCAGTGCTTTCATAAGCTTTTTCAAATTTGATAATAAATGAAGTACAGGTAAAGTCTGTTAAAATGTTCAGTTGAAATCAACACTAGCCAAAAAATGTAAGATAATATTTTTCAAGACTATCATTTTCAGCTAGTTCTGCTTTTCATTTGATTCATGTATTGGAAATTAAAATATGCTGAATTCTGTGTGAAAGCAAAATTACTTTGACAAATTTAGTTAAATTTGATGTACTTTATCCATAGTGTCAGACAGTTCTGATGTACATCCTGATGCTACTTTTTTTCCATCATTGATTTTCTGATGGTGATTGAAAAGGTCATTTAGAAAGATTCCACTGCCCATTCTAGATATTATTTTTGTGTTGGTAAAACAATTAAATGCAAATACATACAAATACTTTTAACTGCTTCTAAAGCTGACATCCCTGCCTAATATAATTTCATCACTCTTCAACCCCTTGAATTTCACACTTAGGGTATTCTCTTACCTTACTAAGTACCAACATTCTATTCTGTTTAGCCAAGTTCCTACAAGGGGAAGACATAACCCAGCCACTAGGCAAAAATACTTAATTTATCTCCCATCTCTTTAGAGAGTCATTAATGTCCAGCTTTGTTACTATGATGATCACATTTTGCCTCATCTCTTCTTTCTGCCGTACAAGGAACCTCTATAAGTTTTATTAGTACTAAATGCTAATTTAAATTAGTAGATTTAAATAACTGTTGGGGTTTATATTTCAGTAGGATAGTTGCTATTGGTTCTTTGACTCGGTATAAGTGAGTGCAACCTGTGAACTTTGGTATTGGGCAAAATCTAGAACAATTAATAGGCAGAGGGTTCACAATCACTATCTCAATATTTTACAGAAGGGGCTTCTACTGCCCCCTACCATGTTTTGCTCTTTAGTTTCACACTAACTTGGGCAGGAGGGTGCAGTTGCACTCAATCTTGCTTGTGGGATCCTGTGGGCAGGTGGTTGGCCACTGTGACACCAGAATGCTGGACTAGGTAAACCCTTGGTCTGATCCAGCATGGATTTTATGTTCCTTTGCTTTTTTTTTTAATACCAAGTTTGATCAATTCTACTTCAATTTTTATTTAATTTTTAAAATAGAAAGGCAAAGTATAAATAATACTGTAAAACTTAAAAGCACGCATATTGGTTTGTGATTGTTTTTCCTAGTTGGTACCAATAAAGTTCTTACATTGCCAGTTTGGATTTTTTTATACAGGCCAACACAATTACCTTCACGTTTTGTAATCCATCCTAATTGTGATTAGTTTATCTCAACAGATATTACAAAGCCTACTACAGAAGGCTTGAACTCTTATCAGAACACTACTTGCTAGCATATAATTCACCAGCCACCACATTAGCCTTCTCCCAAAGCATCTTTTGATAAAGTTTATTACATTGTATGACCATCACTCATCTTCCTTATAGAACATATGTTTGGAAAAAAAGATGCAAACATTCCATTCATTTTGGTGAGACTTTATGTAGGAAAAGTTTGAACTCACAGAGTCCTAGGTGAAAGGAATCTATCTCATATATGTAGTTAAAGGAATCAAAAGGCTAAAGAAATTATTCTGGATATTTTAAATATGGGTGGTTAGTTATGTGTCTCCCAGAAACTTAAGTTTATCATGCCAGGAAGCAACTGGAAGACTAGATCCCAAATATTATTGTTCAGTATGTTGTTGGAAAAAGCTTCATGTTGGTACTGCCCCACAAGTACAAGCTTGTAAAATAAAATACTGTCACTTACCCAATATTGTGTGTATCCAATGGTTAAGAAAAAATGCTGGATAAAATGGAAATATTCTTAACATGAACTTGCACTGAGATACTAGATTGAATAAATTTGTGGTTTCAAATTTGTAAATTTTGGACAATAGCAGTCCTATTGTATTACTGTATTTGGATCATTGTTAAATGCTTGGGGTTTTGAATAATGCCATTAGTCTTAATGAAATAAATATTTGTGCATTTTTATTTTATTGTGCACTAAGGTGAAATGGAAGGAATAGGAAAATCCACATTTTTAGAATTATCTTAACCAGTAGAGAATTTGCTGCAAACATACAAGGGAAGTAGTATTTAAGTACCCTATCCATACTTAACATGGAGTGCTACACATATTCTCCGCACTTATCTCTTTCTTAATAAAAGGTACGGATTCGGATTTTGAAAAGTGGGGCTTTGTGAAAACTGTCCCTTGATCTAAATGTAGCATAATTAATGGGAGCTAGCAGGTTATATATACGGTTTTTAACTTTGTGTAGGATATTTGATGGAAGAACTCCAGTACAGGTGGTAGTGAAAGGTGTTCTTCCTTTTTATAAATGCTGCAAGTTAACATGGTGGTTTTGGTTTTGCATTTGGTAAGAACTGGGGCCTGCACTGGGCCGCTCGACAGATTCAGTCAGTTGTCTGAAGCAAATGTTAGCATCTTGCTCCTTTCTGTACCTTTGAATAGTCAGATGAACACTTCACTGAATGTTATTGTATGAGTTGAATCACAAATTGTGCAGGTCTGGAATGTTAATACCACTGTACTTTAGATCATAGTCATTGAAATCTGAGGTTTCAAACAGAATAAAAATGATGCAGGGGTAAACAAAATGTAGACTTGTAGGTGAGACAGATTAGCCCTACACAAAGAAAGGATCTTTAACAATTTTTTAAATGTCATTTATTAAACCAGACCCATAGATATGAGCAATAAATATATTGAATAAGAAAAACAACAGATGGCAAACAGCTCTCTTTTTACAGGTTAATAATATTGTGATGCACTGTAGTTGTAATTTAGCTACGTTAAAAAAATATAACTGCAATTTATGTCATCGGTGGGGGCTGTATTTTGCTATAATGCATGGAAAAATGGAAAGGAACGTCAGCTGCCAAAATTGTGTTTTCTGTCAACATGATTAAGTGGTGGCAAAGGAACTGCTGGGAACATATACTGGAAATGCCATGCAACATGACCTTCCTCAAAATAAAAATGTAGCTGGAGGTGGAAATGAAACTAGTTTCCAAAGGCAAATCAAGGCATTGTTGCTTATATTGGTTATCAATGCATTTTTACCAATACAAATACCTCTTTCTAGTTCCTTGGCGTGTGCTCTGATTATTTCCTGAAACTACTGTCTAATGCAGAAACTTAAAATCTTAGATCCAAAAGGTGAGCCTTATAGCACAGTTTCTGGGTTTAGAATACTTTCAACAAAGATAATTGAAGACTTGTAAAACACAATGGCAAGAAAGCTAGATGAAGGGTACCTGTAGCTGCTAAGGCATCCTGCATTGTAAGGCTTTAATAATGGCTTGGGAATCAATGAAATCACTGGCTAGAAGCAGCTTTGGTAGGTTCTTGGAAGTAAGAATGCATCTTCAATATTTGCTTGACACTACTTTTGCCTGTAGATCAGGCACTAGAAAGTACTTCTAGGACAGATTTTTAATGCAGAAATGGCTTTATATAGGAATTAAGTTGAAAAGCAGTTGGATGAAGTGGGATGCCTCTAATTTAGGATTTAAGTTGGAGCAGCTGTTCTGGTAGGAGTAGACACCTCTCCTCACCTGAAAATATGTAGAGGGAGGCCAGGAAATCTTGCAAAATATGGTGGGCAGTGCTGCGGAGAGAGAAAGAGGAGCCTCAAAAAGTGAGGTGGAGGAATCTTCCATGAATGTGGACCTCTTCTTGAGGAAAGCAAATCCTGGAGCCAACCCTGAGTAAACTGTCCCTTCCTATTGGGTTGTTTGACCAGTTTCACAATTGGAAAGATGTAGCTTTCTTTTAGCCAACCCTGGAATTTACTGCTGAGCTATATATGAAACCAACTGATGGAACCTGAACCTGTGTACCTGAAGTGTCAGAGTACAGGAGCTGGCAGCTTATCTCTTCAAAGTAATCCAGTTACTTCTGGTCTCTTTTTAATACTATTAGCATCATTTGCAAGCAGACACTAATTATGAACACACTTTCCTAAAAAAGTGTTCATAATTATATTTCAACATGTTTATCTTGCTGACCAGCTTTCCAAAGAAACTGCATCAAACTGGAATTTTAAAAATACATGTGGATGGAGACAGACCCTTATAACTCTGCAATAATATTGGCCATTATTATTAGTTTAGAAACTAAAAACAATTACTTGAGTCTGTCATTTGTGTCCTGGAGAATTCTATATTATGAATTATTTCTATTGGACAACTGGTATTTGAATGCAGACATTCTTGCTGCCTGAGGTTTATTTACAGTGGAAATGAAACCAAGAAAGCTTCAAGACCCTCAGGCCAGTTGAATTTCTCAGACTTCAATGTGAGTGGTTTATTATTTCTTGAGGGACTGGAGGGATCACCAGAACCAAGATCAATACTTCGCATTAAGGTTTTCTGTTATCTTTGGCTATTTCCTCCCTGATCTGGTTACTGAGGTCTCAAAAAAACAAACTGGACGTGTTGGATCAGATGTTCTGCATTTAGGACTGAAGCTGCTGTTCCTTTCAAGACTGTCTCAGTCTTGTGTTGGCAATTCAAAATGTCATGGCAGGGGTGGAAAAGACTGTTGCTTGTTTAAAGAAAAGCTCTATAACCAAAGGTAGCCAGAGGTGGTTTCCTACAAAAAAAATACTCCTTGTTGTTTGGCATATTAGTCACTTACCAACTCTGGTATTCAGGCAGCATAAGAGTATTGTAAGAAATGTCACACAATTAGGCTTCAGAGGAGCTACTTGTATTCCTAAATACAAATGGAGAGCATATGCCTGTCTGTAAATAGTCATAAGCTTGGCCACATTGATCTAACTTGATTCTCATTTAATTCATTTCTACTTTGCTTTAATCCATTTCTACTGCATTTAATTGCAACATGTCTGAATTCAATAATCTAAAAAGTTATTCAGTGCCAGATTTAGTACTTCCCATAATTAAGGGTGGGACAACACATAAAAAAGAATACTTGGGCCACTGCTGAAAACAAATTGATGCATAATTTCCCCATTTAAAAATTCTTGATCAACTTATTACATGTTTTGACATTGTTATGATGTTCATTTCCCTGCTTCATTTCACTAGTTTTGTTTGACTTTGTATCTATATTGAAGTCAAGGTAAGGGACCAAAAGCAACCTGGTTCCTTCCAGGTGATTTGGACTCAAACCCCCTAACCCAAACCCTTAGCCAGCACGACCAATGATCAGGGTGAGTTGTCATTTTAAAAAATCAGGCTATCACCAGGTTGCCTACGGAGAAGGGAAAATGATACAGTGTTGTTCTGAGAGCACGCCCATCATCTTTATTGCATGTAACTACCATATGCTTTCCTGAAATTTAACAGAATGACTTGTACAGTGATGTATTTCCTTTTACTACCACCCTGTCCCCAAGAGGGTAAATGCAGAAATTAGAGCTTTATTAGAAATTTTATCACCTTAAAGATAGACTACTCATCAGCATGATACTGGTCAGAGAAAAATTTCGGTGGGCTTAGGAACTACCCATCATAAATACTGCATTTCTGTGACCACTTTTGTTTTGAGGGTCACGTTAGGATGAAAAATTTGTCCTGAAGAGGCATCATAACAAATGGTGGGTCCTTTGCTCTGTCTGCAAGCATCAGCCACTAGGCAACTGTATTAAAGTTGCTATCCTGGGCAGAGTGTGGAGTGGAGCAAGAGAGCGACATATAAAATATGTCTTGTAGTCTGGGCTGGGGCTGATGACAAATGAGTTCCTCTGTAATATAAAAAGGATACTCTGTTATGTTGTTTGTCAGCATTACTTTCTCTAGAGGAAAATATGCACTATGGGATGCCTGGCCTTGACTAGCACTAGTGATTTATAGACATGCAACATTTTAATTGCTCTGTATTCCACATGTTTTGTTTTAAGTCTGACTGGGCGCTACAGTTTTCTGCATGGTTTAGTCTGTGCATCCATTCAGATTCCTGGTTTCTTCAGAAAGGGTCCTGTGAACTAATAGGATTCCTGTGTTGATGTGTGCTTGGCCTGGTTGATTAGGGAGAATGGACCTGTTGTAAGAATGGAGGGATTCCAGTAGGTTCATTTTTCATTTGTGAGAAAAATGGAGAAAATTGGTCTCATACGCATTCATTTCAACCTGGTTCTTACAATTGCAGCTATGGAAGTGAACCACCTTGGCTTAGTTCCTCCATGCTGGGGAGAGAGCTGCTTAATTTCCCTCTGTGGTGAAGTTTGTTGCATTGTGGAACTGTGGCCAGGGTGGCTTTTTCAGTGAAGAACAAGCCACCCATTCGCTGTTGTAGTCCTGATGACCAGCTTGCAATCATGCAAATTAGGTCTCTCTCATTCTCTCAATCATCCTCTCTTTCTCTGATAGATAAATGGATGGATGGATGTGCTGGATGTGCTAGATGTGCACTGGAATTATGAAATTTAATTATGTAGTCACTGGCTGCATTAATAACACTTAATAGAATAGTTGGCTGAACAGACTGTTACGTTGTATGGTCAAGGAGCTGTGCAAACTATGGGTTGATGAAAACATCACCGCATGCTGGTAGAGCAGGAAAGCAACATTACACAGAAAGTAAAGCAAAAGTCAAAATCCCAAATGTCTCAACCAAGGCTGTAGACATAATATCAACAGTGTGTGGACTAGAGTACCATTCAGCCTAGCATTCTTTTTAGCTGCTTTAACCAGATTTAGTTCCTTTTACATCCTAGTCATAAATTCTGGAAAAACATTTGAAGTACTACAGTCTCAAGTTTAGAGCTGTGTTGTATACAATTCATGTTATAGTTGAACAAGCATTAGTGCTACTTTTGCTACTATTTGTCCTTTTTTATCTTTTCAGAATGGTGTATTTCAAAACAAAAGACAACCTTCCCATAGAATTATTAAATCATGAAAGAAAGGAAGTTGCTTCATAATTAGCATGAACACAGGTTGGTTTTGTGCATCATAAATTTAAACAATCTATGCTGTTTCATAGATTTAATCTTCAATATATGGAGCATGGGTATTTTAGGTGCATGCTTTGTTTTTAGAAAGCTCATTGTGCAAGGAGAATCCATATATAAGTAACCCACTAACAGCCATATAACTACTATGCCTACATTGTAAATCTAAAGACTAAGTAAATAAACCCACTTCTTTTCTTGTCTGATAAAGAAGACTTTCTTAAGACCAACCAGAGATTGTTTCATCTGTTTTGCTCAGTATTTGGTTTGGTTTGGTTTTGTGTTCATTTCTACAGATGGATGGGAACTTCACATGCTCCATGTTAAAAGTCTATTCAAGAACCTATTCAAATGGCAAACCATTTTGACTTAGAGATAAGGCAACTGCTACTGCTACAAAAATAATACCCTCTCCTGGTGCATTATTGATCATTAAAAGTTAAAGCCACAATGCTTGCAGCGTTATCAAGCAATATCTACTAAATCCTGGAAGCATGGAAGATAACTGAAATGTAATCTACTCCATAGCAGCTCTGCTAGTGATGGATAGCGAAACAGAAGCAGGACTAATGAAAAATTAATGAAAACAGTTAGTTCCATAAGAAAAATGATCTGTTTTCTCCCACCTTTGTATTGATTTGAACTGCCCCTGTAATTGGAAGAGTATAATTTTGTCCTAAGGTAAATAGGAGTATGGGGGGGGGTGTGGGGGGTTGAAAAGTGAGCATATAATTCTGGTTGGGTTGCTGACATACTTTCAGCTGGAAAAAATAAGCATTTTCCTTAGAATGTTGAGGCTG